TTGTCCCCCATTATATTAAACAATTATATCACCCACACTCCATTACATTTTGTCCCCCATGCTTAACATAAAGAATTATTCAAAATGTTCAATTACCAAACTACCCCTCCGACCTTATTGCAATTACCATTTTACCCCCATCAGCTATAACCAATCAATTAATCAAACTCAACCAAAATATAGCCAATAAGACCAATTTCTTAATCAATCTCAACAACAAACCATATGAACACAGATGAATCATTCAACTTCAAATTAATGGAAATAAATTAACCATATTGGGAACCAATCCTGGTTAACTTAGACCAAAAATGGATGGGCAAGGACACAACAATATTAACAACACAATACATGATTCAAACTAAATCAACAAATCAAAAACAAAACATAAATTCACATTAAATCACTGGATTAAAAACGAACTTCAAACAAAGATGAACATGAATTAAATCTATTTTAATCAACAAACATGACGGATTCAAACGATTTAACCAACGTTAACAATTTCTGAAAAAATACATAACACATGAAACAAACTGAAGAAATAATTAATTAAATTTCAATTTGCATCTAACAAACATTAAACTAACAATTTCACATGAACAAACTGAAAAATTAGCAAAACAATGAACACGAACAACAAACATTTCCCGATTTTAGATTTGAGAATATCAAAACGAAATACGGACAAAAGTAAAACTCAAAACCCACTAACCGGATCGAAACAATGATGAACTTGAACGGAAACAAATCTGCCCGGAAGCTTTGAAACTAAAATAACTCGAATCTGCCCAAAATTTTTGTATGTTTTCCGGTTGATTTTAGGTGATGAAGCAGTAACGTTTGGTCGTAGCAGAAGCAACAGAAATGAGCTGGAAGCGAGTGGTCGTCGAGGAAGGCAGTGGTCGTTCATGGCTGTAGCAGAAGCAACAGTGGGTTCAAAGGAGATGGAGAAGATGAAACGAAAGCAGAAGCAACAGCGTGGTCTGCTTGGTTGACGACGAAGCAGTGGCGACGGGGTGGCTTCGAACCAGCTGCTCGACGGGCAGCAGCAGTAGAAGAAGCAGACGATGCAACAGAAGTAGCGACGAAGCAGACGACGCAGCAACAACTTATGGAGAAGATGCAGCGGCAGCCATGAGAGCTCGAGTTCGAGCTCGATGAAGCTCGTCCATGGCTAGTCGTAGCAAAAGCAAGCAGCAGCACGACGGAACAGCAGCGGGCAGCAGCAAACACAGCAATGGCGGAGCAGCAACAACAGTCCGGGTTGTTTGGACGTAGCAGAAGCGACAATGGAGGAATCGAACATGGAGCTCGACGAAGAAGGCAGCCATGGGAGCTCGTGCTCGATGACGAAGACGAAGAGGATGAGGCAGCAACAGTGGTCGACATCGTTGGTTCGAAGGCAGCCATGGATGTGTGTGTTTTGGAGCTTTGGGGAAGATGAAGAGAAAGAAGGGGGGCGGGGGCGGATAGTTTGGTGTTAGGTTTTTAGGGTTTTTTTCTTTTATTTTGTTTTTTTTTTGAAATGCAAGATAGGGGGGTGTTGGGTCTTTTGGGTTATGGACCGGGTCGACCCGGTTTGAAATGGA